ATTCTTCCAAACCGACACTTACCAATGTCTGATAACCTGCCCTTTGAGGAACCCACTGTTCAATGCTTGGGCCTCAGCTAACTTGATTTTACTATTCTTAAGAAATTTTGTTCACTTGATCTACAGAATACTTATCTCGTTCCTTTTTAAATTATCTTTTTAAAAGAGATAAATTAGGAGTTTGGGATTAACATATACACACTACTATATATAAAATAGATAAACAACTAGGACCTACTGTATAGCACAGGGAACCATATTCAATATCTTGTAATAACCTCTAATGGAAAAGAATCTGAAAAAGAATATATATCTACTAATATATATATAATGTATATATATAAGCGCTTAAAGGCTTATAAATAAAACACTAAGGCCCATTGTCCCATTCTTCACCTCTCCTGATTCCTGTTTCTCAGTGGCAACCACTTTTAACTCTTTAGCTCTTTCTTCCAATATTTAAGTGAATAATATTCTTAAATGGCTATTGTTTGATTTATCAATTTTAAATTGATATTAAATTAATATTATCTCCTGACTTCTCAGCAGAATAGAGAAGATGAAAATTTGGCTCATGCCCCCGTCTCCCCTGCACCAAATGCTCACGCAGAAGCACATACACACACGCATTTTCACTTCCCTAATTAAATCTGATCAAGTGTATCTGATAACTGTCAATTCCATTTTCCCCTATGGAAAACAGCTTTCTTCCAGAGATTTCCAGCTTCTCCCTTCACTGTTATCTTAGGAACTTCCTCTGCTTCTCTCCTGTGATGAATCCCCTTTTCCTGGGTTTCCTATTGTCCTCTTTCATGGTTAACTCCCTTGCAGATTGTCCAATAGCTTCCTGAGAAAGGGTGGAAGACAGGCAAATCTCTGAGGATTTATCTATCCTCAAATTTGATGCATAAATTAGCTAGAGGGAGAATTCCAGTTTGAAAATCATTTTCCTGAGACATGTTCAGGTACTGGTCCCTTGTCTTTTATTTCAGAATACTTCTCTTCCTTCTCTTCCTGCTTCACTGGCTTTTCCTTTTTTTTTTTTTTTTGCCAGTTTCTCTTCTTCCTAATGACCTCTAGTGTTGGCATATCTCAGGGCTGAGTTTCTAGACATCTTCTCCTCTTTACCTTCACCCACTGCTTAGCTGATCTCAATCAGTTCCAAGGTGTTCAATACTATCACTATGTTGATGACTTGCATTCACCTCATTCCAATATTCACGAAAGTCTCAACCCATTCAATCATCAGTTCAAGGCCAAAATCTCATCTCAATTTTTTCAGCTCAGAAGTCCTATATCTCATCATTTAAATCATCTAAAGGGACGGGAGAGACTCTGGGACGATCATTCCTGGCACAAAATTCCTCTCCATGTAGACTGGTGAAACAAGAATAGTTAACTGCTTCCAAAATCCAGTGGTGGGACAGGCATAGGGTAGTGGTTATAGACATTTACTACAAAAGGGAGAAAACAGACGGTAGAAAGGAATCACATGTCCTAAGCAATAATAAAATCCAGGAAAGCACATTCCATTAGCTTTCAAGGCCTGGGAATAATCATCTGTGGCTCAACTTGGGCCTGTGGCTCTGGCCCTGGGGCCAAGATTATTACAGCAGCCTACCTAAACTAGCACTACTAGTCCCTTTCTGTCTTACCCTGCCTTCTCTTCCTTGGTAATACTTGTAACCACCTGACATACATATTTATTTGTTTATTGTCTGTCTTCCTCCTCCCTGAACTACTGCTCTTTTTTTTTTTTCAACATCTTTATTGGAGTATAATTGCTTTACAATGGTGTGTTACTTTCTGCTGTATAACAAAGTGAATCAGCTCTATGAATACATATATCCCCATATCTCCTCCCTCTTGCGTCTCCCTCCCACCCTCCCTATCCCACCCCTCTAGGTGGTCACAAAGCACTGAGCTGATCTCTCTGTGCTATGTGGCTGCTTCCCACTAGCTATCTATTTTACATTTGGTAGTGTATATATGTCCATGTCACTCTCTCACTTTGTCCCAGCTTACCCTTCCCCCTCCCCATGTCCTTAAGTCCATTCTCTATGTCTGTGTCTTTATTCCTGTCCTGCCCCTAGTTCTTCAGAACCATTTTTTTTTTTAGATTCCATTTATATGTGTTAGCATATGGTATTTGTTTTTCTCTTTCTGACTTAGTTCACTCTGTATGACAGACTCTAGGTCCATCCACCTCATTACAAATGACTCAATTTCGTTTCTTTTTATGGTTGAGTAATATTCCATTGTATATGTGCCACATCTTCTTTATCCGTTCATCTGTTGATGGACACTTAGGTTGCTTCCCTGTCCTGGCTATTGTAAATAGTGCTGCAGTGAACATTATGGTACATGACTCCTTTTGAATTATGGTTTTCTCTGGGTATATGTCCAGTAGTGGCATTGCTGGGTCATATGGTAGTTCCATTTGTAGTTTTTTAAGGCACCTCCATACTGTTCTCCATAGTGGCTGTACCAGTTCACATTCCCACCAACAGTGCAAGAGGGTTCCCTTTTCTCCACACCCTCTCCAGCATTTACTGTTTGTAGATTTTTTGATGATGGCCATTCTGACCGGTGTGAGGTGATACCTCCTTGTAGTTTTGATTTGGATTTCTCTAATGCTTAGTGATGTTGAGCATCCCTTCATGTGTTTGTTGGCAATCTGTATATCTTCTCTGGAGAAATGTCTATCAGAATGGGAGAAAATATTTGCAAACAAAACAACTGACAAAGGATTAATCTCCAAAATATACAAGCAGCTCATGTAGCTCAATATCAAAAAAACAAACAACCCAATTCAAAAATGGGCAAAAGACCTAAATGGACATTTCTCCAAAGAAGATGAACTACCACTCTTAAAACATAAGCTCATTGAAGGCTGTGTTTTGTTTGCTACTCTATCTTCAGTACCTGTGATAGTATCTGGTATATAGTAGGTACTCAATAAAGGCTCATTGAATGAATAAATACATGAAAGAATGAATGATGGAAAAGAAATAGGAGATGAAAATTAGCTTTCTCTGGAGAACTCTTTGGCAATATCCAGTAAGTTTGAAGATGTACATAACTTTCATCCAGCAATGCAACTCATAGGAATATATGTTAGAGAAACTCTTACACAAATGCCTAAGAACATATGCACAAGAATTATTATTGCTACCTTATTTTATAATAGTGAGAAATTGGAAACAACTGAATATCCACAAATATACTTATTGAGTGCTATTTATGTACTAGGTACCATCCCAAAGATTGGTAATATAGTGGTTGATATATCAAAAGTGGTTGCTGAAAAGTTAAATTTAGGAATTAAGATTATTGACACCTCAAGAAGCTTACATTCTAATGGGAAGAGAGAGACAGTAAGCAAATAAGTATATAATATGGCAGGTGAGGTTAATGCTGTGAAGAAAAATAAAGGGTCAGATTGTGACTTGGGGTATTTATGTGATGCTTTTTAAATCTAACTGGTTAGCAATTGTACAGGTAGGAGATTTTATTGGGGAACTTAAGTCCAAAGAAATTCTCAGTTTCATTCAACATTTTCATGGATTGATTTATATAGTATACTAAAATGTAACATCTGTGAAATCCCTGGGGCTACTATCAGTGTGTTTCTTCTAATCGTCCTATCTGAGCATCGAACCCTTACTAAGTGAGGAGCTCTCCTTAACTTAGAGTCACATTGAGGAACACAGTTAATGATTCTGGTAGAACTGACCCAAAAGGGACTTTACCAAAGACAAGCAGAGTCTTTAGCATAATATTTAAGGGGTAAATTTCAAACAAATACAAAAGTCAAAGTAATATTACATTGAGTACCTGCATATCCTTCTAGTTTCAGTAATTGTAATATTTTGCCATATTTTCTCCCTCATTTTCTCTCTCAGCCTCCCCCGTCCCACCCCACATACAAACACATATATATTTGCTGTGGCACTTGAAGGTAAGTGCAGACATCATGATACTTAATGTTAAATACTTCAGCAGCGTCTCCTAAGACTAAGGACATTTTTCTACCTAAGCAAAACACCATGATCATGTCTGAGAAATTATTACTAATTCTCTTATATTTTCTAATATCCTGTTCATATTCAAATTCCCCAGTTGTCCCTAGAATGTCTTTTATATTCATTTAAAATATCGTGATCAGGACTTCCCTGGTGGTGCAGTGGTTGAGAGTCTGCCTGCCGATGCAGGGGACACGGGTTCGTGTCCCGGTCCGGGAAGATCCCACATGCTGTGGAGCGGCTGGGCTCGTGAGCCATGGCCGCTGAGCCTGCGTGTCCGGAGCCTGTGCTCCGCAACGGGAGAGGTCACAACAGTGAGAGGCCCGCATACAGCAAAAAAAAAAAAAAAAAATTCGTGATTAAATCTAAGTTCATGCATTACTATATTTGGTCACTTTTAAGAGTAATCCACCTTAAGTGCGTATTGCTAAGTAAAATAATCAATCTGAAAAGGCTACATACTGTATGATTCCAACTCTATGACATTCTGGAAAAGGCAAAAAAATGGAGACAGTAAAGAGATCAGTGGTTGCCATGGGTTTAGGGAGTGGATGGAAGGATGTATAGGTGGAGCACAGAGGATTTGGGGGGGGCAGTGAAACTATTTGGTATGATTCTGTAATGTTGGATACATGATATTATACACTTGTCAAAACCCATAGAATGTACAACGCAAATATGAAAGTAGTAAACCCTAATGTAAACTATAGCCTTTAGTTAATAATAATGTACTAGTATGAGTTCATCAATTGTAACAAATATAAAATTAATGCAAGATGTTAATAATAGGAGAAATTACAGGGATTGGAAGAGGGTATATGGGAATTCTGTGCTTTCTGTTCAAATTTTCTGCAAACCTAAAACTTCTCTATAAAATAAAGTATACTAAATTAAAAAAAGAATACTTCTGCTCTTTTTATTACTTTGACTTTTTGAAGAATCTGAGAAAATTAATTACCTTATAGAGTGTATTGCATTCTGAATTTGTCTTATTGTTTGCTCATGATGTTATTAACTTCCCTTTCTCCTCAATTCCCTGTGATCTAGAAAAGCTAGGTCTCAAGGCTTGATTGGATTCAGGTTAAATATTTTTGACAAGAATACTTCAGAGATGTTGTGAACTTCGTGTTGCATCATATCAGGAGAACATGCTGTCAGACTGCCACGCTCTTACTGATGTTAAGTTTGATTACTTGGCTAAGGTAAGATCTGCCAAATGTCTCGTTAAAGGAACATTTATCTTCTTTGCAATAAATACTGTCTGTACAATGATATTATCTAGTCTCTCAGCAACCTTTCACCTGATAGTTTTATCATCCATTGATTGTTCTTGCTTTAATCAAGTATTACATTAGGAGTTGCAAAATGGTTTTCTAACTATCATTATATCAACATTTCTTATCCAGCATGTTTTCTTTCCTTTTTTCCTCTATCATAGTCATTTAGTGTGTTGCCATTACACCCATCATTATTTTTCATACTTTCATTGTTCTAAATTTAGCCAGTGGGAGCCCTCTGAGCCCCTTCCTAGAACCTTCTGACACAATCCCATTAGTCTTTGAGCTGTTTCCTTACTTTCTGAAACAACAATGTGTCAAGGCTCACCTTGTACTTTTCCTGCCTTAGACATGGGCTCAGCCATTTCCCCCAAAGAACCTTAGTTCTTTTTACTGGAAAGTGATTTTTTGTTGTTTTCTGGTTATAAAAGCACTACATCCTCATTGTAGAAAAATTAGAAAATAAAAGAATGTATAAAAAAAGAAAATGAAAACCACATATTACTCTACCATTTAGAACTAACCACTCTTAACATTTATTGTACTTATTTCCATGGTTTTTAAAATATGTATCTAAAGTGGATATTTTAAATTTAAATTATGGCTTGATACTGTATATTTTGTACTGTACTTTTTTTTAAATCAACTATATCCATGTCATTAGATAGTCTTCAAAATCATGATTTTAATCTTTTTGTACCAGAAACTATGTCTTAAAATGTTTGAATCTTTCCCAGGGCATCACACCTACCTATTGTGATAAAACTAAAACTGTTCCACGGCTGTTAAGCTGCATCATAAAGCTTCACTGAGGAATTAGGGCATTAGTTGAGTATGAAAAAAGTAATAATGCCATGAAATGAAGACACCCCTTGAAAACAGAAATTTCCAAAGGGCAATATATTCATGTGAGTTTTTCTGTACTAGTTACTGTGAGTGGATAAATTTCCTTGAATCTGGGTACTTTTCATGTCTTTAAGACAACCACCTGATAAATGAAACACCAAGGGATCTATTTTAAGTGCCCCCGAATTGGAATCAATTTTTTAAAAATATGATTGACCAACAAATAAAAAGAGATGACTCTTCTTCTACTTATTCCTTGTTATATGATGGTGGGAATGTTATTTAATTGCTTTGTGACTTAGTTTTCTTGTCTATAGATTAATAGTAGTTCCTCCTACACAGCACTGTTGTGGCAATTAAGTAATAATTAAAGTGTTTAGCACAGGCTCTGGCATATAGTAAGGGCTCAATAAATGCCAACTCTTAAAATTATCACTGCAAGCTAGAATGGTGAATCGGATTTGAGCTAACATTAATGGAAGAGCAGGATTTAGGCCGATGGTGGTGGGATTAATGGACATTCTGGGAGCAAGACAAAATGCTAGCACAAAATTGGGAACACACAAGTTCTATTGAGCGAAGCTGCTGAGCTGTTGAGTATTTCTGTGTGAAGATTAAACAAGCTTGCTCTCATTATAGCACTGTAGTGCAGGGGAAGCAGTTACCTTCCGTCCTTCTTCTTTGTCATACACATATCTATCATTTGTATTGACTTGGGTCAAAGCATTAGAGGTATTTTTAATAGGGAAAGAGTTGAAAACTTCTCATTGGAAAGTGGACAAAATGTTAGCCAAACCCATGCTCGTGTGGATTTCAATAGTGCCTAAAGAGATTTTTACAGCTTTGAAGTCTTCTCAGCGTCTACCTGATTCCAAGTTTCCTCTACTCTTATTTCCTCTTTCAGATCTGATAAGGGTCTTAGAGTTACCCCAACAGGTGACCCCTGGTCACCCTAACAGGGTTATAAAGAAGTCAAGTGCATGCATAGACCAGTTCTAGCTGCATGACCAGAGGAAAATTACTTAATCATCTGGGTCCTAAATATCCTCATCTTTAGAACAGGAATTACAACAATAATATTTACTATATAAGGTCATTGTAAGAATGAAATGCAATTCCATATATGTAGCACCTAATACCATGCCAGCAATTCAAGTATGTAGAATAAACAACAAATAGCTGTATTTATATTTATGATCATATATCGAAGATTAAACACCCTCCCAGTTTCAGCTTTCAGATCCTCCCTCGCATTGCATTTTTTTTCATCAAATTTGTAAGTTAGAATCTCTGTCAGATACATCGCCTTAAGTATGAGGTGATTATATATTAGGAGTCTCCTATGTCTACTCCCACTCTAGTTATCCATGCAATTTATTCTTTAATTTCACAAACATGTACTGAGCACTTTATTATGCTCCACTGTGCTGGATCCTGGACATCCAGAGAAGGTGAACGTATCTGAGAAAAGGAGAAAGTGTTCAAGTCCCCCGTGATGATGTTCAGGGTTGAAAGTGGGAATACATGTCTGGAAATACTGCTTATTAAGCAAGTATCAAATTAGAATAAGTGGAAGATTTAAGCCCTTTAAGAAAACACATCTTGCAGAGAGCCTCAAAGGCAAGGTGGGCATTTGATAGCTTTATCTGGGACCACACTCCCCAGACTATCTCACCACGAGTAGGAGGGACATGGCTACATCCCTGAAATGTTTCCAGTTCCTTTTGGAAGGATTTGTCAGGGCAAAGGTGAGAGACTCATGCAGTCGTCTCTGAGAGCATGACAGAATTAGAGGCTAGAGCCACCATTGTGTGTTTAAATTCTGGGTCCCGAAGCAATAGCTCTAGCTCACAGCTTCTAAAAATGTCCTTGGCTTAAAGTTTTGGCTCGGGGTTGAGGCGTTATACTGCAGAATGTTTCTGGAATAATTCAGTGACCTCAGACAGGCTGCTCCAAGTCTCCCTAAACCACCTGCATTGTTCGACTATATTTAGCAATGAACATTTAAACAAAGAGAAGACAGTTTATTGGATTAACAGGTCGGGGAGAGGAGGATATAGAAATGGTACCACTTGCCTGGCCTCCCTCACTCATCCAATAAACACACAGTTTTGAGTGCCTTTTGTGTGCCAGGCACTGTGCGAAGTATATTAACCTGGCAGGTCTCAAGGCATTCCTCTCCTTGGGATGAAATGACTCTGAGATCCAGAATTAATTATTAGTATTAATTGATAAGTATTAATTGTACCAACCACAGATCATTCGCAGGGGTCCCCATGTTTATGGTCCCAGAGGTGACTGGGAGAGGATTGGGGATCAAGGAAATGCCAACTGCAGCAGTCCCAGCTCCTATGAGGAACGAATCACTGTTCTTTCTTCCTCAAGTCTCAACAGAAGTGAGCATGTTATTTCTCATTGGCTCATTGTTCCCTAAAGCCCCACCAGTAAGAAGATAATCTATTATTATTGGCTCAATTTCTCTACCTTCGTTAGGGACACAAGTTTAATAAATCTGAGCATACTTCTGGCTGAGTCAGGTTGACCAGGATAAAATTAACAATTGCTTCAGGATACATTTTGATCTAAACCACTGTCTGTATCTAAACTTTTAAGATGGAAGAAATGTCATCATATTCAACATTGGAAAAATGCTAGATACACAGGCTGATGCTTCACCTACCTTTTCTTATAAAAAGCTTGAGTTAGATAATCACAAACAAAACTTTTAAAAATACCCTGATTATCTGTAAAGATGCTTTCAGGAGTAAGTAACAAAACCCCCAATTCAAACTGCATTAAAGAATAAAGAATTACACTGTGGCAGCACAGGAAGTGCAAGGGTCAGGCAGCCTTCAAGGCCGGTTGATTCAGCAGAGCAACAATGTCTATGAGAATCCAGGTTATTTTTGTCTCTTCACTCACCATCTTCTGTGTTGGCATCATCCTCAGGGGAGAGGCAAGGTGATTACAGCAGTTCAGGTACAAAACCTGGACATAGCAATAGCAATATTCACAGGAAGGAGAGAGAGACAGATCTTCTTGCTGCTGTATCACGGGAGCCTTTCCCCAGAAGCCCCAACAGATTTCAGCCCCCATGTCTCATTGGCTCCTTAACTCAACACTGGCAAGGGAAATGGGACTACACTTGGCCAATGAATGCCACCCCTGGAACCGGAGATGGAATCAGCATCACCTGGGGCGCCTAGCTGTGTGGAGGAAGGATGGATATCTGAACAAAGTTGGGGGTCTCTGAGTGAGAAAGTGGGAGAATGGATGCTGGGTAAATTACATTTAGTTTCAGAAAACCTAACTTACAAGGGACTTAGGCCAAAAAATTGTTTTTCTCTCATAACTTAAAGGACTGCACTAGCTGGCTGCTGGCATTGATTCAGCAGCTTGGTGATGTCATGGATAGAAACTGGGTGATGCTCTTGACCTTTTCCTCCCCCATGTTTGTAACTTTTTGACCCCAAGATGGCCACTCAAGTTCCATACATCAAGTCTGGATGCAATACAGGGAGAAAGGGGGGAAAGGGTATGGGCTGTAAGAAGCACTGTGTCCTGGAATTTATGAAAAAGTAGATTTAATCACCCTGTCTTACAAGGGTCTACAATTTACACACGGAGACAAAACACACCTTAGGAACCACAACACAATGTCAGTACCAAGAGAAGGATGCAAACAACTCTTCAGGAGCAACTGAATGGGCATCAGGGCTGCCTGCCCCACCGCCGACATCTGGTTGCCCCCACCCACCGTGTCGCAGTCCTGCTGTGTTGCTGGCCTTGCTTCAGCTCCAGGCAAGCTTCCAGAAATCATGGCCTGCACACCTGAAGTGAGCAGATCTCTGTCTACTTGTCCTTTAAATGGACACTGCTTTTTCTGTTGGGAAGACAGATAAATGTATCGGAGGCTCTTGGATGACAGTATTGTCCTGGCAGGGGTCCAGGGTGGCTGGGAAGAGAGAGAGAGCATTTAATGGGTCTGGCAGCAGAGCAGTCGAGGTGTGGCTGCCTGTAGCAGGGGACGAGGACCTCTGGCGATGACATTATCTGAGCTTGGGTGGGCTCTCAGCTCAAGTTGCAGATGGCCAGGCACCTCTGGCTGGCAGCCAGCCAGTTGACAGATTACATTCTGTAACCATGAGGTAAGTTTGGAAGAAGGTTAAGAAAAGCAGTTATTCTTTAGTCAGTCACTTGGGTGTTGCCTGTGTCCCCATAACATCTTAAATTCGGGAAGCACAGGGAATCTATGTCTTGCTTGCCTTTATGCCATTACCCTAACCTCTGGCACACGTGAGCTTCCTCTTGCCTTTAGGAACACACTCCAGGATCTTACAATGGCCTAATGTCACCACTACCCCCTCACCCTCCCCAAATTTCATCTTCTTCCCCATCTCCAGCTTCTCCTCCTGCCTTGCTTCCCCTTCATACACAGATTGGATAGAAGTTCTGACTCCTGAAGTGGCCCTTCAGAGCTTATTCTCCAGCCCTTTCCACAGCACTCAGCACCATGAACTGCAGCTCTCTCTCCCTTGGCTTCTGGAACTCACTCTCTCCTGGGCTTGGTTCCTTGAGCGATTCTTCTCAGGCGACTCTTTAAATGTCTGTTTCCCTCTGAGCCCTGTCCAGGGCTCTCTGCTTTATTTCTTACTCTCCATGTCCTGCCTGGGTCCTTCATTCAAATTTACAACTACAACCTCTGCTTCTGTCTCCAGCCCAGCTCTCTCTCCCAAACTCCACATATTATATAACTCCACCAGCCCAGCCCACAGGTACACTGAACTCAATGGGGCCAAGACAGGGGACAAGCTCCAAATGGGATTCCTCTCTTTCTAAAGAACACCAGCATCTATAAGCCAGAAACCTGCCAGTCATCCTAGAATCCTCTGGGTATACATCTTATGTGACAGTCACCATTATTAAGATGTTGCCATCTGAATATGTGACATACTTAACCCTTTCTTCAAACCTTCCATCACAGTGTGTCATTGTTTGGTACCCCTCATGTGAAAGACGCCCTGCTGCCTCTTCCCCTCCAAGCCAGCCTGAGTGAGTTGCCCTGCCTCTGGGACCCAATAGCACCAATAGCCTTCAGCCCCTTCTTCTACTGTAGAACTTATGACTAAATATTTTAATCATGTGTTTCCTTCTTCCTCTCCTATACTAGGCTGTGATTTCCTCCAGGACGACTGTGTCATAACAGTTTTGAAATCTCCAACAAACAGCGTACATAGGGCCTGGCACACAGTAGTTACAAAATCAGTGTTTGTTGCATGAATTATTCAACAAAAGGGTGACAAAACTATAGTATAGTTTTATACTATAAAAGTTCATTGATACATTTTGGTCCACATAGAAAAGAAGAGAAAAAAACCACTGACAGTCCCATCACCCAACTGAACTATAATCACACTTGGGTATATTTTCTTATCTTTACTTCTATGGGTAAGATTTATTTTTACCTAAGTATAATCATACTGCACTTGTAATTTTGAATCCTGCTTTTCTACTACAAATATATATTTTTCATATTATTAAATATTTTTCCAGCTTTCTTGAGATACAATTGACATATGACATTGTGTAAATTTAAGGTATACAACATGATGATTTAATATACATATGTATTGTGAAACAATTACCACGATAATAGTTAACACCTCTGTTACCTTATAATTATCTTTTTGTGTGTGTGGTGAGAATATTTAAGATGCTCTTAGCAACTTCCAAGTGTACAATACAGTATTATTAACTGAAGTCTTTGTACATTAGATCTCCAGAACTTACTCATCTTCTAACTGCAAGTTTGTACCCTTTGACCAACATCTCACCACTTCCCCTACTCCCCCAGCCCCTGGCAATCACCATTCTACTTTGATTTTATGAGTTTGGCTCTTTCAGATTCTACATATAGATGAGATCATAATGGTATTTGTCTTTCTCTGTCTGACTTATTTCACTAAGTATAATGCCCTCAAGATCCATCTATGTTGTTGCAAATGGCAGGATTTTTCTTTTTTATGACTGAATAATATTCCATTATATATATATATATATATATCATATTGTTTACTCTTTAATTTTATTAATAATTTTACTTATATATAGATTTTGCTGTCTATGTAGTCAATCCACTATTTTCCTTTATGATTTCTTCAACTGATTACAACCTTAGAAAGGGCTTTCCTATCCATAATTCAGACAAATATTTAGCCATCTTTCCTTCTAGGATTTTTATGTTTTGATGGACTGTTATGTCTAATGCTTTTATCCACTTGAATTTATTTTGGCATGTCATGTAAAATAAAGGTCTAACTTGCTCTTTTTCTCTTCAGAGTTAAGCAGTTGGGTAAGCATAATTTTTAATAAGATTATATTTTGCATTGTATTGCATTTCAGGACAAGATTGCTAAAAGGAAGTCTGGATAATGTTTCTGATTAAATAAACCTCATCATGTAATTTGGAACATGAGTTAAGTGTATGACATTCCAGGAGGTAGGGGCAGGGTAGGGCCAAGTATGAGTTAAGTCTTGGAAACAAGGAAGACTCCCATTTCTGGGGGTATCTTTTAGACTGGTGCATGTGCAAATAGAAAAAGCAGGAATATGCTTATGGACCCCCTAACCCCAGGAGCATTCACAATGCACAAAGGATTGGTTTAGTAATGCCTAGGTATGATGTTGCCACTTCCATTTCTATAGAGGTCTATGAATACAATAAGATGGGAGGAAGAGAGAGCAGATGGAGAAGATATTATTTTTAATTTGCATCACTTCATACAAACCTCAGTCCTGACCCTGTGTTAAACAATGACTCATATCTCCACAAGCTGCCAAATATTTTAAAGACCATAGGAACACTATATAAGCTGAATGCAAAGTGGTCTGCAGAAACCTAGGCTGCCGGCATTAATGTGTACAATTCATATATTTATTCAAAAGTCAGGGTGACTTTCCAATAAGAAATGAATCACTCACGAAGCCATTCCTTCCACCACAGTGTGGATCAAGAGGCTCAGTACACATGATGGTGGTCTGCCTTCAGTTTATAGATCTGGGTTTTGGTTAGAAACTCAAGTTCAGCACCTAGCACCAAGGGCCTCTGGTTGATTTAGTAGGGCAAGGTAAGCTAATGTGCCCATGCACAGTACTGGGAAATTTGCCTTGTGACCCTTTTTGTCATCATAACAGAAATACTTTATAATATCAACATTGTCCTTTTGCAGAACTGAGTGCATCAGCAAAAAAGAGACAGAAAGAAAATTTTGCAGCTGCACGCAAAAACACACACACACACGCACACATACACACACACACACACACACACACATATACATCTGGCTCAGCTTTACTGATGAGATCTTGGCTTGGAAATGAAACAATTTTGTCATTCACACAATTTAAAAACAGACCCCAAACCATCATTAAATAAGTAGTTGTCACAGAAGCACAGCAACTCCTTAAGTCACCCAGCCACAGCCTATATACCAGATTTTTCTCTGAAAAAGTGGTCGAATGTTCAAGTTGGAACAAGGAAGGAGTGCAACTTCCTTGTCTTACATTTTGAGGTTTTCAGCTTTGTTTTACAATATTCTCTTTATCATTTACTAATTGTTAACTAATAACTATTTCTTAGCTCTCTTTCCCAGCCAGCTTCCAGATTCTTGGAGTGCAGAGGCTGCACCTTGTTGTGTGGCTCGCCAGTGTCTTGTGCGTGAAGGATGCTCAGGGAACGTGGAAGATGGTCCTGGTGCTTCACCTACACCTTTTGGCACAATCCCAGACAAGAAAATACCTCTGGTACAGCTAGCTCATGTTGTTTGATGGCCTTTAAGGATGAACAAGACAAGCTTTAACCATAGTTAATATATGATGATGGCAAAAATAACTGACGTCTGGCAAAAAATGAGTTAGCTACCTTATTATTCAAGAATGATGATCCAAGTAGTGGATTGTCTGGGCCTCTGGCTCTCCTCTCCTTTGTAAGGGGAAGTGAGGACAGAGGAATGAAGACTTTCAGTCTGGGTGTAGATGCCAGTTGCTCATATCAGTCTGGTCAAACGCAGCTCTTGGAAGTCTTTTCTCTGTGTGTAGTAAATGACAATCAAGGGTTGGGGGAAGGGTTGATTGTTTCTTATACCATCTTTGAAAGTCTTTACTCATGTTTTATTTCTAGGAATTAAAAATAAAAATTTGGTTCACTGGTAATTTAAAGAATTATATATTGTTAACTTTTTTGAAAGTTAGCTTTATCAAGGTATAATTAAAATAATCTAGTTTTTGAGCATTTCTATCACCTCAAAAAGTTTCCTCGGGCTTCCCTGGTGCCGCAGTGGTTGAGAGTCCGCCTGCCGATGCAGGGGACACGGGTTCGTGCCCCGGACTGGGAAGATCCCACATGCCGCGGAGCGACTGGGCCCGTGAGCCATGGCCGCTGAGCCTGCGCATCCGGAGCCTGTGCTCCACAACAGGAGAGGCCACAACAGTGAGAGGCCCGCAAAAAAAAAAAAAAAAAAGGTACCGCAAAGGAAAAAAAAAAAAAAGTTTCCTCATGCCGATTTACAGGCATCACAGCTCCCAACTCTAGCCCTAGGCAACCACAGAGCTGTTTCTGTTTCTATAAATTTGCCTTTTCTAAACACTTCATATAAATGGAATTAGACATACAATATACAGTCTTCTGTGTCTGGCCTCTATCACTTAGAATAATGTTTTTGAGGTTCATCCATGTTGTAGCATGAATCAGTAGTTCTTTCATTTTAATTGTTGAATATTATTCCATTTTATGGATTTACCATATTTTGTTCATGAATATTTACCATAGTCACCAGTTGATGGATATTTTAAGTTTCCAGTTTGGGTGGTTATGAATAATGCTCCTATGAACATTCATATCTGTGTCTTTATGTGGACACATGTTTTCATTTCTCTTGTAAAGATTCCCAGGAGTGGATTGCTAGATTGTATGGCAAATTTATGTTTAACTTTTTAAGGAACTGCCAAAGTGGTTTCTAACGTGGCTGCATCATTTTACATTCCCACCAGCAACGCATAAAAGTTTCAATTTCTCCACATCCATACTAACACATGGTATTGTCTGTCTTTTTGATTCCAGTCATTCTAGTGGGTTTGTAATTGTATCTCTTTCTGGCTTAAATTTGCATTACCCTTGTGATCAATGATGTTGAACATCTTTTCATGTTCTGATTTCCATTCATCTTCTTTGATAAAATGTCTATTTAAATCTTTTGCCCATTAAAGAAATTGGATTATGTTCTTATCATTGAATTATAAGAATTCTTTACATATTCTGGTTACAAGTCCTTTCCAGATCTATGATTTGTAAATATTTTTTCCTAGTCCATGACCTATCTTTTCATTTTCTAAATGGTGTCTTTTGAAACACAAAAGTATTTAATTTTGATAAGGTCTAACTTAGCAATTTTTTTCTTTAAGTATCATACTTTTGATGTCAACCATTTTTATATTATGTTAAAATTAAAATTTTTGTATAAATATATTTAACATTATATGCAAAATATGTAATTTTATGTAAATATAATGTTTAACGTTATTTCGAATATATGTTAAGAGGGAAATTAGTACCAAAGATTTCTCTGTTATCCCTCCTAACCTGCTTTGTATTTAGAATAGAAGCAACAATAGTACTCTGTTATAAATTAGTGTTAAGGTTTTTCAAAGCCACAATGAGAGATATTCACTGCGTATCACCCAGACCTGGATCCCCAATCTGTCACCTGGGCCACAGTACCAATGCAAGAACACTTCCTAAACCCAGCTTGACTTAACTGTGATAGTAGAGCAAACAAAACATACAGACACTCTTCTGTTGCCTTGTTGATTTCCTGGACTGTGCTTCCTTTGTGTGTTTTTGTCATTTTCCTTCATTTTCTGCCCCCTGCCTCTGCTGGAATTGTCACCATGTGAATTGGTTTCCCAAAGGGTTGCTGTGTTTGTTTCTTCCTTGTGCTAACAGGAACTATGTGCCTGCCTTTTGTTGAACATTAAATACATGCTGGAAGCAAAAGTATCATTACTATAATGCTTTATGCTTCTGAGGCAGCTTTCTCATTAGTGTCTAGCATACTGAGCAAAGAAGTTAAGTTACAGAAATAAAGAGAAGTGTGGTGTTGACTGTGCAAGCAGAGTCCCCTTTTCACATGGCAAGGCAGGAGGAAAAAAAGAAAAATAAAGAATTCTGAATATGAAATTCAAAACCCTTTACAGGAGGCATCTGGAAGTATTTACTCCTTCCTGAGTCAGCCATTACTGGGCAGCAAGAGCTGATGAATGGGAGCTGGGATTGTGTATGAGAGAGCAGCAAAGAAAAGAGGGAGAGTCGGAGCCTGGAGAGAGTAAGAGTTGAAGCAGAGGGTCCAGAGCCAGCAGAGAAGGGGATGGTTGAAGGTGTATGGAAAGAGCACCTTGTTAATCGTGCTAAATGCCAGCAAAATGTGGCGATTTGTGTGGGAGGGTGGAGGCATTGACCTTGAACTGGAGTAGGAATGCATCATCCTCTGAGACGAAGGGATAA